ATTCGAAAACGTTCAGCATTCAATCTGGAGACGTTTAGCAGACAAAACATTAACGCACAGAATTCGGTTTTCAGAAAACTGCCAACGCCTCAATTTCAACTTGAAAACTGCTAAATCAAAGGTTTTTCGGGTAAGCAAAATAATTATTTATTTAACCATTTTTTGTAAAAATAACCCGGTAAAAGGAACCCAGTACCTCTTGAACTCGCGCGCAGGGGGGCGAATTGGCTGATTTCAACTGCGATTGCCCTGAGTTGGCCTGTCTCATGTGCGCGAGGCCACTTCTCCTCCAAGCCCATTTTACTAGCCCACTTCATTCCTTAGTATATATACACTAGGAGATTTCTTCCTTTAGTCAATGTGAAACTTTGACACACACACACTTTTGACACACATACAACAATCCCTCACATGTGTCAAAAGGATTTATATTCGTCTGTGTTATTCACACAGAGGATAATCACTTTGAATTTGGTGTCTGTCGACTTGAACCAAACCTAGACTAATAAAACTTAGCACACAGAAAAATTAGTGTAACTTCGTTATTGAACCAACAGATCTTGAGCGTGTGCTAGAGGTCTTATTAATCAGATTATACCCCCACAGTCTCTGGTTTTAACAAATGCTCTAGAGATTTTGCCACGATCTCATAGGAGCGGCCCCACTCCATATTTGTATAGGTGTTTTTATCAAGTGTATCTGCAATGAATACACCATTCGTAAGGACTATGAAAACATTAAGAGCTTTCGCTCAGCCTCCGTTCAATGCATTCTAGCACTTTCTCAAGCCATAGGAAGGGACAAGTTCAGTGCTAGTAGAACTAACAAGTGACTTGTTCTTACCCATTGAACCTTCTTCATGGGATCTCCAATCACAAAGGTTGGGTTGCCATCACCGTTAATTTCAAATAGGCTTAAGTCCCATTCCCCTCGACGTTTCAATAATAAATTTCTTCCTTAGGGGTTTAGTTAACAAATCCGCCAGATTTAACTCTGATCTCACATAATCGATTGAGATGACCCCGTCTTTGAGCAGCTGCCTTATAATATTATGTCTCAATTGAATATGTCTACTTTTGCCATTGAAGGTCTTATTTTTAGCCGTTGCTATTGCAGACTGGCTATCACAATGTAAAGACACTGATGGTGTGGGCTTTTCACCTATTGGAATACTTGCTAAGAAGTTTTTCAACCACTCAGCCTCAGTTCCAGCCAGCTCCATGGCAATGAACTCAGAATCCCTTGAGGATTTTGTGTTGATTGTCTGTTTTGCTGACTTTCAAGTTATTGCACCACCACCAAGTGTGAATATATAACTACTAGTGGATTTTGTCTCTTTTGAATCCGAAATCCAGTTAGCATCACTGTATCCTTCCAATACAGCGGGAAATCCACTATACAATATACCATAATTCATGGTACCTCTCAAATATCTCAAGACTCTCACCAGAGCCTCCCAGTGTTTACTGCCTGGACAGTGAGTATATCTACTCAATCTGCCTACAGCATAAGCTATATCAGGCCTAGTAAAGTTCATCAAATGCAACAGACTCCCAATAATCTGTGCATACTCAGATTGAGCAACTGGGTCACCCTTGTGCTTTTTTAATTGCACACTCGAATCATAAGGAGTACTCAAAGGAGCATCTTCAAGATGTCCAAACTTTCTGAGAATTTTCTCAACATAATGTTCTTGGAAAGCAAGATTCCATTTCCATTCCTTATGATTTTTACACCCAAGATTACCTTGACTTCACCCATATCTTTCATATCAAAATTTAAAGAAAGAAAATTTTTTGTTTCATTAACAACACACATACTAGAGCCAAAAATTTGCATATCATCCACATACAAGCATATAATCACACATTCATTATTCACAAACTTTGTATAAACACATCTTTCTACTTCAACAGTAGAAAATCCACTAGTTGTCAAAACTTGATCAAGTTTCTCATGCCATTATTTAGGCGCCTGTTTTAAGCCATACAAAGACTTTACAAGTTTACAAACTTTATTTTCTTGCCCAGGAATCACACATCCCTCAGGCTGTACCATGTAAATTTCTTCTTCTAAATCACCATTAAAAAAAGCTGTTTTAACATCCATTTGGTGAACAAAAAGTTTGTAAATTGAAGCCAAAGCAATAAGAACTCTTATAGAAGAGATTCTAGTCACAGGAGAAAAAGTGTCAAAATAATCTATATTTTCTTTTTGAGTAAAACCTTTGGCCACAAGCCTTGCTTTATACTTATCAATTGAACCGTCTAGAAAATATTTTTTCTTAAAAATCCATTTACACCCAATAGCCTTAGCTCCTTGGGGCAAATCTGATAAAACCCAAGTTTTATTTTTCCTTAAAGAATCAATTTCAATTTCAATTGCTTCTTTCCAAAATTTGGCATCAGGAGAAGAAATAGCTTCATAAAAATTTAACGGTTCATCTTGTACTAGATAAGTGTAAAAGTCATCTCCAAAACTTATTTCTTTCCTTTGCCTTTTACTTCTCCTTAAAACCAAATCCTCGTTAAAATTTTGTTCAAACTCTGAATTCTCAACAGGTTTAGAAACATGCTTAATTTTCAAAGGAAAAATATGTTCAAAGAATTCAGCATCCTTAGTCTCTATAATTGTATTTTGGTCTAAAACATCACTTTTTAAAAATAAAAAGCGATACGCTGCACTTTGTTTAGCATACCCAATAAACATACAATCAGAAGTTTTAGAGCCAATTTTCCTCTTTTTAGGATCAGGCAATAAAACTTTTGCAAGACACCCCCACACTTTCAAATATTTTAAGTTTGGGGTAAACCCTTTTCATAACTCATAAGGTGTTTTTTTGATTTCTTATGAGGTATCCTATTTTGTAAAAAACATGCAGACAAAATAGCTTCACCCTGCAAGTTATCAGGGCAGAAGAACTCACAAGCAAAGCATTCATCATTTCTTTTAATGTTCTATTTTTTCTTTCTGCAACACCATTAGACTCGGGAGAATAAGGAGGTGTTACCTCATGTATAATTCCTTCTTTTTCACAAAAATCATTTAACAAAACATATTCTCCTCCTCTATCTGATCTAACTCTTTTAATTCCTTTGTTTAACTAATTCTCAACCTCTGCTTTAGTATATCTTGAAAAATCATCAATAAAAGTGATATAATATTTTTTACCACCTCTAGTCATGGTTTGTTTTAAGTCACCTAAATCTGTATGAATTAAAGATAGTAATTCAGATTCTCTTTGACTAGAAAAATGAGGTTTTTTACTTTGTTTAGTTTCTATACATACTTCACATTTTCCAAAATCTCTGTTTTTAATTTCAGAAAGTAGTCCAAGTTGTCGCATCCTATTTATATAACCTTTACTAGCGTGACCTAGTCTAGCATGCCACAAATTAAAGGAATCAACCATATAAACAGGCATATACTCAGAAGATTCAGTCTTATTCATTTCATCAACATTTAGAACAAACAGTCCCTGATTACAATACCCTTTGCCTACAAACACATTATTTTTTGTCATTACAATCTTGTCAGATTCAAATGACACTTTAACCCCAGCTTTCCCTAAAAGAGCAACTGACACTAAGTTAGCTCTAACTTTAGGCACATGCAGAACATCATTCAGAGCCAGAGTCTTTCCTGATGTGAGCTTTAAGACCACTTTCCCTTTTCCTTGAACTTTAGTGTTCGGGAATCAGCAAGGTAAACATGATCTTCCCCTTCCTTTACAGGATTATAGGTGGTAAACATCTCTTGGCTTGCACATATGTGCCTGGTAGCCTCGGAGTCTACCACCCATTTCTTCACATCAGAAATCAAGAGAGCTTGTGACACCACTGCAGCAATGATGTCATCATCACTGTCACCATCTCGTTGTACCAAATTTACATTTGGCTTCCGAGGCTTATCACGGTTTGCTCTCTTCCTACACTGTGCTGCATAATGTCCTGGTTTACCACAGACTAAATAGTCTCCTTTCTTTTTGAAAGAGGGGTTAGAAGCATTGGGTTTGTAATCAGTTTTTCTATTCTTCTTGTATTTAGTTTTAGAATCATACCTCTTGTTGTGAGGCTTTGTCTCCACCAGGTTGGCTTTGGATGTCATTTCTCTGGTTCAAGCTGCACGTATTGCCTTGTGGTTGGTATCTGCGATGATGATGTGAGTGATCAAGTCAGTCAAGGACAGCTGCTTCTGTTTGTGTTTCAACTGCTGTTTGTAGTCAGACCATGATTCTGGCAGCTTCTCAATCAGTATCCCAGCAACAAACTCATCTGGAAGGTTGATGTTTTCAGCACAAAGCTCCTCCAGCAGCTTATGATATTCGTTGATTTGCTCCTTGACATCCTTGTTCTCGGCCATCTCCCATTTATAGAAGTTGACCACAATGAATTTTTGTTTGCCGGCATCCTCAGCAGTGTACTTTGTCACCAGGGACTCCCATATCTTACAAGCTTCCTTGTAGACATAGTAGACATCGAACAAATCATTAGATAAAGTGCTAATGATAGTGTGTCAGCATACCTTGTTTGCATAAGTCCATGCAACTCTTTGAGCTTGGTCAATATCAGCAGGAGGCTCGGATTGAGCAAGAGCAGTGGCCACACCATGCATGTCAAGAACAGTGAAGTCACGTTCCTGCTAGCGTTTGAAGTTCTGACCATCAAAGACTTCTATCTTTGATATATCAGGGAACGGCCTCGGTAGGGGAACGGCAATAGCAGCAGGGACGAATTGACCTCCAGCTGAACCACTAGGCACACCTTCGGGAGTGACATTCTCAGCACCGTCGGTCGCCATTGGGTTGAATAGTTCTTAAGATTGTTGAAAATAGTAGATACAGAGGCTAACAACGAGGTAGTAATCGCTCGAGTCGTGTCCGGAAGAACACTGTCCTTAAAAACTATTCCGGTACACCTGGACGGCGGACCGACAGTCCCCCAGGATTAAACAAGCACTTCCTGTGGTAGAGCAAGGGAACAGAACAGCGAAGACTATAAATGAGAACAGACGAACAGAAGATCAGAGGGAGGAGAGGGCGAGGACGCTTGCTCTCTGTTCTGTCCGCACCAATGTCTATTTATAGGCTGAGGAATGAGACACAAACGTTGGGTTATAATTACCGGTTAATGCTTCGGTTATACACACATTAAACAACAAACGTTCATGGATTAATGCTTCAGTTACATGCCTTAAACAGCAAAAACATGCACATCCATTAATCCAAAAACGTTCAGCGTTCAATCTGGAGACGTTTGGCAGACAAAACATTAACGCACAGAATTCAGTTTCCAGAAAACTGCCAACGCCTCAGTTTCAACTTGAAAACTGCTAAATCAAAGGTTTTTCGGGTAAGCAAAATAATTATTTATTTAACCATTTTTTGTAAAATAACCCGGTAAAAGGAACCCAGTGCCTCTTGAACTCGCGTGCAGGGGGCGAATCGGCTGATTTCAACTGCGCAATTGCCCTGAGTTGGCCTGTCTCATGTGCGCGAGGCCACTTCTCCTCCAAGCCCATTTTACTAGCCCACTTCATTCCTTAGTATATATATACTAGGAGATTTCTTCCTTTAGTCAATGTGGGACTTTGACACACACACACACTTTTGACACACATACAACACTTTTTGTCTCATCTATCAGAGTGCATTCTTGTGTGTTTTCATGTGTGCAATCATGAAAAAACGTAAATACAACTTAACCATATCCTCTTTAGAAGTCCTGATACTTGAATCATAACATAAGTTCAGAGGAAATGAATCCCATAATGGATATGAAACACTTCAATTATAGTCTACTGCATAAATCAAAAGGTAAGGTTCGAGGGGGGACCTTGTAGGCTTCACAATGAAACTAAGGTTTTGTGAAGCAGGAATGGTGATGATTACTTGACATTTGCCCATCACAATGCACCAATAAGGGCTGCACAAAGGACGAGACGACATTGGATTTCACCCTAACCTGGGGTCCGGTTTCTTTCATGATAAGGACTGGGTTAGGAAACCTGCAGTCTAGTCTTGTCCAGTAATAACTCGAAGATTAACAGGATCGAACTTAGTCCGTAGCATTGGGAGACTAATCTTGTTAGTTTAGTACTCACTTTAGCTTCTTTTTTTTTCTTTTATGAGAGGTTATAATCCATTTCAATCTAATAAACTCAATTAAGATAGTAAAAACACTTATAATAACAACAACAACAACAACAACAACAACAACAACAACAACAATAATAATAATAATAATAATAAATTCATAATAATTTCCAACAATAAAAAAAATATTTTTGTCATAGTCCAAATGATTTAAATTTATAATTTTAACAAAAACAACACTCAATAAACTTCAACAACATTACATTACAATAATAATTTAGAAATAAACGCAACAAATCTTGATACAATTATTTCCTTAGCATTAATCACACATGAAGTATTTGTGAAAAATAAATTAATTATAATTATAATAAATAAATTAATAGGATTGGACTGGACCAAGTGGTCCGGACGCCTAGCCTCTTATTCAGTTCAACCCAAAGAAATAATCTGATTTTTTTAGTCTTTTTGGTCTTAAAGGACCAGTGTGTATATGGACCGAACAAGGTTAGGATCATTTCAGGTTGGACTGGATTGGACAAGATTGGAGGCCTTTTGCACAGCTCTATGCACCATGCCCAAATCACATCCAGCCTCTAAACCAAGTTCAGACCTGTTCCCATATAAAAAGACGATAATTAAACATGCAAAAGTAAAACAACACCATATCAATTATAATGAAATCACTATAACAATGCACTGACTCAGTTCAGATTGTCATTAAAAGTTTTTAAGATGCCTAGACAAAAAAATAGGGAAGCACATGTAACAAAAAATGCCTACAACGTTGAGTTTCCTGCAAGGAACGCATGAACTTCATAACCAAAGTAGCAAGTGAAACTTTCCTCTCACAAAACATGATAAAACCTTCCAGTCAAAAGATAAAGATAAAACCATTGACAACATTGTCATCACTTAAATGAAACCAAACTAATGAGAAACACATTCCAGCGTGCCATCGATATAGCAGTTTATAAATTTTTTTATTGCAGTGACGCAGGTTGGCACAGATGCTAATATTAATAACACATCTAAGCTTCTGAATCAATAAAAGTAATTGCACAACAAAAACATGTTTTAGTACGAAGTTATATAAAATCCTATCACCAAAGCTCTGAGCCTTTATCATATCTTTTTAAGACAAGCTACATATAGAAGGGAGATAATGCATCTTTACTGGAACATGAAGAATAAAATAAACAAAAAAGAGATCTTGAAACTCAATTACAAATATATGTAACATGAATTTCTCCAATATCTCTTGAAAGGAATAAAAAGTACCTCATTTCCTGTAACTCATCCTGGGCTTAGAAACTGATAGGCCTCTAATCACGTGCGCCAGAAAAAAGAGGAAGAAATCTTATTAATTTCAGATTTTCCTGATTTCTTTAAGTCTGTTATTTTATTTTATTAATTCAGTTATTTGTTCCCCAAGTTTAGGAGCTAGTGGAAACTCCTTCCTACTTTTTAGGGTGAGTTGTTAATTTGAATAAGCATTTGAAGTCAGTTATTAGTTAGTTGCTCACTGAGTCATAAGTTTAAGGAAGTGGGTAGTTTTTTCAGACTCTTGGTTGTTGTTCAGTCTATTTAATTTGTCTGCATGTCCGTATAATCAGTGCTCAACAATTTATCCCACGCTGATCTGCTCACTTTAGTCTCGCAGAGCATGAAATCACCTCTCTGCTTCCCCATCCACATTATTGTATCCCTTTCCTCACTGCTAGGAGGAATCACAGCACTAATACTCTCCACATCCTCACTGTTCAAAATCTCACCCTCTTTCTGTCATTCACTTTCCATCCTAGATTATTCACAATATTTGGCCATGGGTCATGTGTGTTTTTCCATAAACCTGAATCCCTATTTTTATTAATACATTCAACATTTAAATCAGCTTTCCCCCCATATTTAGCACATAGCACCTGAGAAGAGTTGCTTGTTTGGTTTAGCAACCACATCCCAACCCTCCTTACACAAGAGTGCTTCATTCATACTCTTCAACTTCTTTAACCCGTAACCCTTGAGCTCCTTTGGCAAACACAGTTTTTAGTTCCCACCTTACTGGTCATCTCTTTTGCTTCTAAAACTTAACGTGCTGTGTTCAAGCACTAACTCCCCCACCCTACTTTTTTCCTTTTTAATCAGGGCAAAAGATCCTCTCCGTATGCTTGGATATTAGATCAAACTTCTGAAGAAAGGGAAAGAGGAAAATCAATGACAGTTGCTGTTGCATTTTTTCAATCAACAAAATACAACATTGTTTTGCTTGACTCTCCTGGCCTTGGAGATTTTGTCCCGAACATGATTTCTGGGACAGCACAAAGTGATGCGGCAATTCTTGTGATTGACGCATCAGTTGGTGCGTATGAAGTTGGCATGGACAACAGCAAGGGACAAACTTGGGAGCATGCCCTGCTTATCAGAAGTTTTGGCATCGACCAGCTTATTGTTGCAATAACTAAGATGGATGCTGTAGGATACTCTAAAGATCGATTTGAGTTTATTAGACAGCAATTGGGAGTGTTTCTCCGGACAAGTCGTTTTAAAGACTCTTCGGGATCATGGATTCCCTTGAGTGTCACAGAAAATCAAAATCTGGTGTCATCTCCTTCTGATGTTCGTTTCAAATGCTGGTAAGTCATTTCATTAGTATGGGTGGTCATAGTGTTATATTGATTGGCGCCTCATTTTCTCTTGTGCTTTCTCTCCTTGTATGTCTTGATTTTCAATAGGTATAAAGGCCGCTATCTGCTAGATGCAATTGATTCGCTCCAACCTCCAACTAGAGAATTCTCAAAGCCTCTACTGATGCCAATATGTGATGTTATCAAGTCACCCACGCGTGGACAGGTCTCTGCTTGTGGCAAATTAGAAGCTGGAGCTCTTCGGATTGGATCAAAGGTACATGATGGGTCTGTATTCTTATAAAAGCTCTATAGATTGTCAACAGAAAGGTCAAATTAGTTATCCTCCAAACTTCAAGTTTTTTGAAGCTGAACTTGTTTTCTGAGCGTCTTTCCTACCCATTCTTATCCTCAAGTACCATCTCAAGTCTGCCCCTAGAACTGCAATTGCTCTTGTCCTTGTGAGAAATAATCATCTATATATATATATACCATTTTACACTTCATGTCTTGTGATGCTCTGTTAAATAGGTATGCATACCTGTCTTCTTCTTAAACTGTCTGACTATGTATATATATATACCATTTTACAGTCATACTTCTTTTGGTTGCTAAGATTTAGAGTCATCTTTAAAATTTTGTATTTGATTATTACTGCATTCTGATTAAAATATGCTAATGCTCATAATTAATTCATACGCCTCAACCTTTATCCTATGCCATAAAAAATATTTATTTCTTTTCAACTGTCTGAAATTCTAGATCTTGGTTCTGCCATCGGCTGTTTTGGGGACGGTTCGCACATTGGATCGTGATTCTAATGCCTGCACTATTGCGAGAGCTGGAGATAATGTAGCCGTCACATTGAATGGTGTAGGTGCAAGTCATGTAGTGTCAGGAGGAGTATTATGCCACCCTGATTTTCCTGTTGCAATTGCAAGTCATTTGGAGTTGAAGGTGATTGTGTTGGAAGGAGCAAATCCCATATTGGTAGGATCGCAGGTAGGAACTGTGTAAGATGTCAATTGTTGCTTACTCCCTTCGGTCCTTAATATAAGGCAAACTTAACCAACTTCGTGTTTATTAGGAAATAGTAGTTATGTCTTTGAAACTGTTAAAAAAATGCAAATGTCCAGTTTTGCCCTTCTTGGCCATGATAACCATAATAAATTGTTGTCTAGGAAGTCCAATGACAATAAGTATGTAAGGGGTAAAATTGATAAAATATTTACTCGACTTTACCTTGTATTAAGGACTGAAAAATGCTTTCAAGGTTTGTCTCATGTTATGATTTGTTTTAATATTTTATAGAAGAGACAAGGGAAAAAGTAATTTTTTCTTTACCTGTGCAGTTGGAGTTTCACATGCGCCACTCCAAGGAGCTTGCTGAAGTTTCAAAATTATCATCAGTAGTTGATCCAAAAGCACCGTTGGCGCAAAGATCTGTCCTTCGCATTCTCCTTGCAAAGCAGACTGCGTTAGTTGAGGTAAATAAACAGAATAACTTTGTGTTAACTCACACACACACACTCTCTCTCTCTCTCTTTTGCGCGCACTCTCTTTCCCTCCTCTATAATCCTGGATACTGCGCAAACATGAAGTATTTTTTGTGCCCTTCTCTGACTTCAGGTAATTTTGCAAAGGCGAGTCTGTGTGGCAGAATCCTCTAAAGCTCTTGGAAGGGTGTCTCTAAGAGCGTTAGGAAGGACGATTGCTGTTGGTCTTGTTACCCGAATAATCGGATAGCAAGATTAATCTACGAATTACGCGAAAATGGTGAAAAGAATTGTATAGACTACCAAAACTTTCGGAATTTTCAATACCTTTGTTCATAATGTTCCTGCATGTTATGCAGTCATGTAAGTGATTGAAAAGTGAATTTCTGTTTAGATCTTCTCATTCATTTGTAGTGATAAAAAAGAAATATATCTGGTCGGCTACAGGCATACTGATGGTTATAATTCCTTGCTGATGTTTTGATTTGTTCAGAAATTTTCTGCACTATTGCTTCTGCGGCTTGATTATCAGTCTTGGCGTGGTTTATCTAGATTTGGGTACTTCCCTACTGTGTGTTTTCTACGATACATTTCCTCATGAGGAATTTAAATGAGCTCTTTGATTATGTACTCACTCTTGGTGCTACTTCAATGTGTATTTGTTGTGTTGTATGATTAACATGTACATTATAATTTTGATTTAGGGCCTGTGAGTAGTAACTTGAAAGTGAAATTAAGTAATTAAATTATATTTTAAGTGAAAAAATTTAGTTATTTGAAAGTGATTATTTAACAAAATGAGGATGGAGATGTGACATGGGATATAAGTGGGGTGGTTTAATTGAAGAAATATTAAAGGAGTTATTTATGATTATAAGGTATCTAGTAAGTTTAAAAGTTTTATCATACTGTTATAAGATTATCAATATTATATGATAGTGAATATTGGGGTTTGACGGGATAGTAAGGGCATAAAATTGGAGTAGTAGAGATGAGAATGTTAAGATGAATTTGTGGATATAAATGTAAAGCCAAATTTGAAATGAGTGAATATGGAAAAAAGTGGTTGTGATATATATTGAAAAGAAAATGGTAGAAAATTGTTCGAGGTAGTTTGGATATATACAAAGAAGATTACGAGAGATACTTGTGAGTAGAGTGGAATAGATGACTTTGAGCTCTGTTAAGAGGGGTAGAAGAAGATCAAATAGAACATTTTTGAAGGTTGTTGAGTGAGTTCTTTTAATAAATAATATTTTTACAAATTTAATGATAGAGCACAACGACATTATATAATCAATTTAGGCGATTCCGTTTAGTGAGATAAGGCTTGTTATTGTTGTTGTATAATTTTGTGTTATAAGTAGTGATTTTGAAACCGGATTGGATGTTCGGATTTGTGTTGATCGTCAATTGGTTCAAATTTTGGTTCGATTAATATATGAAAATTATTTTGGAGGTTGAGTCAGGTTGGGTCATTTTGGACCGACGATCGAACCGGAAATTGGATCCGGTTCTTAAGAATTGAATTGTTCAAATTTTTTTATTTTTTATTGAATTTTTTTAAGAAAATGACCAATTTTTTAATTATTTGATATTATGTTGTACCATGTGATTTGTGAAGTTATGATAAATTTAAAATATTTAATTTTTTTAGTTAAGTAGCAATTTTATATTTATTTTTTATATTTAAATTATTATATGTATATATATATTTTTAATTTAATTATTACGTCAATGGTTTGACCATTAGTCCAACATGGTTGAACCATATGAACCGCTGACCTTTTCAGTTCAATGTCTGGTTTGGTTTTGAAAACATTGGTTATAAGGTAGTGAATGATGGGTTTTAATGAGCAATTTTATTGAATTGCTAATGTGATCAACTGTTATATGGTAGTGAATATTGGGCTTTAACAGAATATAAGAGCATATGGTTAGAGTAGTAGAGATGAGAATGTTGAGATAAATGTGCAAATAAACATGTAAATATAAAATTTGAAATGAGCACGTATAAGGAATAGTAGATGAAGTATTCATTGAGAGAAAAGTGATAGAAAAAAAATAATGATAGTTTGGACATTTACAAACACTGCAGGAGGCAATTATGATGAGAGTTGAACAAATAATTTTGAGTCTTGAGGGGTAAAGGAAGGTCAAAGAATATTTTTGACAGTTATTAATTGATATTTTTGATATTTTTAAAAGTTTTGATAAATGATAGAATATAATGAGTCATATAATTTATATAGTTAATACCAGTTAGTTGTAAAATCTTTTGTTAATTTTGGAGATCTTTCATTAAGAGCAGAATGACCTAGGACATTTAATAGTGCATTTTAAGTTCCTACAATAATATGGTCTACTTTTTGCTGGCTAAGATCTAGAAAAAAAGACACGCTAAAAAGACTACCATCTGTGGGGATATGTCCCCACTGTTTTCAGATAAAATGAGAGATTCACACCCTCTAGGGACTTCAGAAACCTGAATCAGCTCATGCGATAATATTGCCTAGTGGTCTGCACAAGTCATTGCTTCCCGAGGTGCCTAAAGAACCTTGTCATTTTGAGCAAATATCAGCTCTCGTACTTTGTCCTCAAGAAGGATGAGATCGTCGAACTCCTGGGTAAATGAGATTAACTGCATCAACAGAATCTGGGTAAATCCACACTTGAAGCAAATATTCGTGCTTCTGCCAACTTACACTCCACATTGGATGGCTGTCACTTCTGCAATACTGATAGGTATGTTACTCAGGTTCCGAGCAAAACCCCCAAGCCACGTATTTAATTGCATGTCTACATGTGTGTGTGTGTGTGTGTGTGTGTGTGTGTAATTGTGGGAACACAAGCTCTTTTGTTAAATTTCTTAAGCAGCTACCAGCAAAGGTTGATTTAAGTAACTTACAGCATAGTAAGTTCAAATTTGGTTGCCTGATACGAGTATTTTGTAAGTAGATGATCTGTTAATATCTCTGTAAGCCTTTGTTAAGTCTAGTAAGTATGTCATGTTCACGGTATATTCTTGATGCCCAACTCACCAATTTTATATATATATATATATATATATTCCTTAAGCAGCTTTTTTCTTTCTTTCTTTCTTTCTTTTGTTGTTTACTTACTTTACATTGGAGAGCATTTAACTGACAATTTCTCTTTTAAAAAAGTGGACCTTTTAGTGTCCATCTTCATTGGAGACATTCTAGTGACTAGCTCCTGGTACTACTATATTAGTATTTGGTAGGCAGATTAGCAGAGATAAAGTAAAAATTTGAAAATGAAAGGAAAAAAAAAATAGATGAGGTAATAAAAGTTGGATAAAGAGGAACCGGATCATGGAAGTAAAATGAATTCCTAATTTTATTGAATGATTTAGAAGAATCGTTGTAAATGATAGAATATAATAGCGTCATATAATTCATACAGTCGATTCCATCTAGTGGGATAATATTTGTTGTTGTTGTATTCAGAAAAGTCATTGTAACAAATCCAAAGTAACATTTTAGAATAACTTGGTTTCAAAATTGTAAACTGTATGTCCAGGTAAAAAAAAAAAAAGAAAAAGAAATCAAAACTGTATGTTGATGTCTAACGTCCTAGTTTATATTAAAACAATCATTTACCAAGCTGCCATTACGATCATGTTTGGTGTAGACAGAAAATACAAAACCAAAATTTGACTTCAAAGTTTTTTTTAAAATATTTTAGCACTTGAAGTGATGATATTTTAATTATTTTCAAAGTGACCTGTACAATTATAATAGAAGAATTACATATATTACAACTATATGAAAATACAATTTCATGTAGCTTCAATTTTTCCCAAAATATGCCTTAACTTTTATGACCCATATCAAATTTCATAATTGATATTTAGTAGACTCATAGGATAGCAAAGTATTGAAATCTGCACCAGTTAAAGTAGTGATTTAAGTATCAATGGTTAGAATTATGGTTGAATCTTGATTAACAGTCATAATTATTTTTTAAAAAAACTTAAAATGATGTCACTTTAGTCGTCTTAATATAGTGACAAAAATACATGAAATTTAAAATCTAACTTGTTGACTTTTTCAAAACTTTCGAGAGCGCTAAATTAAGAAGGAAACTGGTCACTGATTTACTAGTTTGACTAGCCAATTTAGATCAATTTTTTTCATTTGAACCCAGATTGAATTGCATAGTAGGTTCATAGCTGGTCATTATATATTGGTTGTGATTAGTCAAAGTATAAAAAATTAGTTGAAAATTATTTTTAAATCAATTATATCATATTTGAGACATATTAAAATCATTTATCAAATTCGTAAAGAGTAGTAGAGATGAAAATGTTAAAGTAAATGTGTAAATAAACACATAAATATGCATTTTGAAATGAGCATGTATGAGAGGGAAAAGTGATAGAGAATTGCTTGCGATAATTTGAACATGTATAGAGAGTGTGGGAGGTACTTGTGAACAGAATGAAATAAATAATTTTAAATGTTGAGGGGAAATGGAAGGTTAAAGAATATTTTGAGAAGTTATTGATTGATACTTTTTAGTTACTATATATTTTTCTCCTAATAACAAAGTGGTATTTTGTTCCATTTTTCTCATTCTTTTTTGAATAAAATAATAAGTTTGCTCCTTTAAAAATATTTGATCCCTGGGGTTAATTTTCTTTTTAACTTGGCTTTTTGACCAATTTTTCCAATGATTTATATGATTTTTGGATAAATTTTTAGAAAAGTATAATTAAAAATATAAATTGAAAAGTAGGTAATAATTACTTATGAGATAATTATAATTTTAGGTTCATAATTAATTTTGACATGTATGGGGGGTTTTTGAATATTTTTTAAAAAACAATAGTGTAATAACCCATGAATTTTAAGTGAAAATTTAATATATATTATTGTATTATAATTGTAGTTATAATAATTTTAGGCCAATTATGATAAGAAAGAGTGTTGATGCAGTGAAAGTGTACACATAATTTTTCCATTGGGTGAAGCCTTCACCCAAAAGGATGATTTCAGCTTTGAAAAATTACTGAAATACCCTCACCAGATTTATTTATTTATTTTCTCTTTCCTCACCTTTAATTCAGCCATGATTTTTACCGGTTCGCATTCCGTGCTCATCATCTACAAGGGTGATCTCAACCTTTCATTTTCTCTCAAAATGATCTCAGTCCTTATTTTTAAATATTTTAAATATTATATTTGTGAAAATAAAAATTGTAAAAATTATAATTAAATTTTGAGTGTAAAAAATATATTTAGATAGTCCATTTGTAAAAATTATAAAAAATTAATATTAAATTGGAGTATCCAAGTT